TTAAAATTATTACATCCATAGCTCAATATCTATCTGTCTGTCTATATATATATATAATTATATAATGCTCTCTCACAGAACCACCAGTTACCCTTCACTGAAACCTAGGATTCCAGGTACCCTGGTTGAGAAACCCTGCTCTAGGGGCTGAGACAGAGAAGTCTTTCCCATCATCTGGAGCAGGGGTAGGCAACCTTTCCCCTTTAAGGGCCAAGGGACTTCAGCTCCCAGAATCCCCAGAACTATTGGCCAACATGGGACTATTGGCCAACATGGCTGAGGCTTCTGGGAGCTGAAGTCCCTCAGCCCTTAAAGGGGAAAGGTTGCCTATCTAGACCCTGCTGACTGCTTGTAGTTATTTTGCCCTTAAAACAAGACTAATACCTGCTTCTGGAAGTCCCCAGGAATTGTGATTTTCCTTTCAAGCAAAGTGCAAGGCCATGCTTTAGGTGCAGGGGCAGGCAAACTGTCCCCTTTCCCAGAATCCCAGACTATTGGCCAACATGTTTGAGGCTTCTGGGAACTCAAGTCCAAAATCCCTAAGAGGGCCAAGTTTGCCTGCCCCTGCTTAGGGTAAGGGAGACTTTTTAATGGTCAGAGGGGTTTAAAACTCAAAGAGAACTTATAGTCCTGGGGAAATATTTAAAAGCACCTTTTCAGCAGGAGGTGTCATCTGAATCAGGTCTTAGAAGTGGTTCAAAATTGGTCCCTGGTCCAGCTGAAGTTGCCCACCCCTGTGTTACCTCCCATTCAATCTATTTTAATAGGCAGTGGTAGGATTAAACTCTTGTCCTTCTTCATTAAAACCATTAGATCAAAACATGTTGGATTAAAATAAGTTGAAACCCTAAGCTATGCCAAATGGAAGAGTTTTGATAGTATTACAGAAAAAAAGTGTATTCTTTTAATGGAATGTATGAAAAGGTGGCATTTTTGGGTGGCAAAATGATGACATTGCCTCCCTATAAGAATTCTAACCCCAAATGAAATTTTATATTAATCCTCAAATTTCAAGCTTTGCAGAATGTTCAAAACTGAAGATCATTCACACTAAATATTTGCTGTGTTCTTATTCCTTTAGGAACTCTGCCTTCCCCTTTGCTTTGGATGCCTAAGCTGTATTTCTAAATGTTCACCTAAAGTTTTAAATTACAGTGGGCCCTTGGTATCCATTGGGGTTTGGTTCCAAAACTCCCCATGGATATAAAAATCTGTGGATACTCCAGTCCCTTTAAATACAGTGGCATAGTAAAATGGTGTCTCTTATATAAAATGGCAATATCAAGGTTTGCTTTTAGAAATTTATATATTTTTTAGTATTTCCAAATTGTGGATGATTGAATCCATGGATAAAGAATCTGTGGATATGGAGGACTGACTACTGCAATGCCAGAAATTAGAAGACTGAAGGAAAATGTCATGTGTGAACAAATTCTTTTTTTAGAAGGCAGTGCCCTCATTTTGCTCTCTGTTAACTACACCCTGAGTCTGCCCATCCATCCATGTAACATCTCTCATCAACAAGGAATGAGAATAAACATAAGTGGGAGATTCTTTTGTCATTCACTGTTTTGCATTTACAGTAATCTATATTTATCTGCCACTATCTCAGTGCCAGGCATGGTGTAGTGGTTTGAGTGTTAGATTACGACTCTGGAGACCAGGGTTCGATTCCCTACTCAACCATGAAACCCATTGAGTGACCTTGGGCAAGTCACATGCTCTTAGCTTCAGGGGAAATCAATGGCAAACCTCCTTTGAACAGCTCCTGCCAAGAAAACCCCATTGTAGGTTCACCTTAGGGTGGCCATAAATCAGAAATGACTTGAAGGCACACAACAACAACAATTTCAGTGTAAAAGTCAGAAGGGCAAAGAGAAGAATAACTGTAGCAAATGAAATTGCACAGGGGAGTGGGGAGATGAGCCAATTCTGAAACTCTCTTGTCCTTGCACTGTGGTTACATCACAGGGTACCAGAACATCAGGAAAACCAACACACTTCATCAAATGAGCTGTGATAGCTTGCCATCCTAATCTGAAGTTCATTGCTTTCATGTGTTTTATACCAACAGCTTTCTCAGGGATATCATTCTTTTTAAAATAATGAAATAAACATGCCTTTTAAAACAGTTTGAATGCTCTGATATATGTTCCATTCTTGTTTCACGTGCTGTACATCCACAGAGGGAATTTTTGTGTAAATATTATTGCCCTCCCTGTACACCGTGAACTTGAACATCTCTCCACACTTGTACTCCATGGATATCCAGTGGCCATTTCTTTGAAATGGTTCATTAGTAGATAAATAGTTCTTATGCCAGATTATATTGAGGGAGTGCTAACGTCAAAGATTCTCCACTTTAAAACCAAGGAAAGAGCACATATATATCCATTTGTGTCATTAAGGGGAAAAAACTCATCTTATTCAAAAGACTCTGGCTGAAAGACTATGGTCCATGGGGCCACAGGGTGTAACAGAATTCCACTTCTGCCTCAGTTAGAGAAAGAGGTCTACATGCCTCTCCCATAGGTCTAGAGCTTGGAAAGTTACTTTAAGAGTAATTAGCTACATCTGCCTTTCCTTTTCCTCTAAACTAATTGCTTACACTTACAATCATAAGGGGCTCTTTATTTCCTGTTACTTTACTATCTCCTTTAAATAACTTTCAAAAGATAATCTCTATATTCCAAGGGCCATCAGCATAAAACACACTGTTCTCCTGTCCACCTCATTGCCTAATTCCCTCAATGCATTGAGAAGCAGCACTATAAGGCATAGCATGAGCTGACTCTTCAAGCATAGTGTATTTTTCTCTCCATCATTTATCACTCTGAAATGATGAGAGTAAATACATAATCACAGTTGCACTACAAAAGAGTGCAGAGTGCAAAGGACTCTGTCCTTTATTGCATGACAGTGGTACAGTAATATAGTTTAGTAACTGAGGAAAAGAAATTCATTACACGTGCCTAATTACTTATAACTAATTATATGTCACTAGTTACTGCAAGTTCTGTGATCAAAAGTTATTTCTCTTCTCCTATCAGAACTCCTGCAGAATTGGTTGTGTCAATGAGTCCACTTGCTTTCAGAAATAGACAAGCTCTTCTTCTATATACAATTCTATCTTTTCAAAAGAAGGAGCCCAAGAAGAAAACAGTCAACAATGGCAGCAGTTTTGCAATTAAATCTTATTGAATTCTGTGACAGATATGTGTACTGGTACAGAGAATTTCACACAATCGAAATACTAGAATAACATCTTATCAGAATAACATTTGTAGAAAGTTTACTATCTTGGCAGAAATCTACTGATCCTCTAGCAATGCAGTACATATACAGACAAAATTTTATGTAGGTGTCAAGTTGATTTTGTTGATGTGTCACCCAAAACAGAAGCAGCATTTTCAGTTTGAAAAGCTGTTGTCATCCTGAAGTTGCTTTTTTCCTCTCAACAATGACACTGCTCTAATATTTTGGTTAGATACATCAACAACACAGCCTACACGTCCTGGAAAACAACCAAGACAGAGAGAGTTCTTCTAAGGACGTGAAAGATGTATGCCTGTGTAGGTAAGTCATCTTTGTCTTTCACTTTCTCTCTCTCTCTCACACACACACACATTTACAGCATGTTATTTGGGTGATAAAATACAATATAAAATTATACATAATATAATTATAACATTTCCAATATGCATTCAGTTGCCAGTGGATAATCTAGGACACAATCTGGTTAAGCACTTTCAAAGAACTCTTAACTTCAGTGGGAAAGGTTTCAGCACATAATTAAGATGAGAATTAATTTAACTACAGAAGGGCGGCTGTGGGCCGCCCCGGGAAGCTGCGCCACGGGGCCGAGGTATCCCCACACCTCGGCTCTGCGGCGCAGCTTCACCGCTCCTGGAAGGAGCCCTAAAATAGCGCTTCTTCCACAAGTCGCCAAAGGTGCGCTGCAAAAGGCTGGCAGTGCACCTTTGGTGACTCTTCCGCTGCAACGTGTGCGAATGCTGTGGCGGGAAGTCATCGTCGGAGCGCCGGCCATGCAGAGGGGCTGGCACTCTGACGATGACTTCGGGAAGGGGTTGGGGCGCCCACCGTGTGGCTGCCCCTCCCCTTCCTTGCCCCCAAGATGGCCCTTTTAGCCGTCTGCTTCCTCCCATAGATAGCTTTACATGAAGAACTGCTATTGTGATCTCATCATCATTTAGCACCACAAAGTAAAACAAGATGAACAACAAAACAGACAGCCCAGAGAAAGGCATACAATCTTACACATGGGAAGGAAGGAATAATACAAAAATTAAACTAGTGCAATATAATTCTAAACAAATTGTTCAGACAGAAAGATAAAAGACCAATACAATATAATGTAGAGCAGTCTGGGAAATACATATAATGAAACAAGATTATAAGGCAATGTTAAATTTACAAAAGGATTGGAAAACAAGAAAGTCTGAAACTGAGATTTTAAAAAAGTGAGGGAAGGAGCAGTCTGCAAATGTTCAGGGAGCCAATTCCAGGAGTATGAAGCAGCAAGTAAGAAAGTACAACACTAAGCCAAGGAGGAGGAAACCTTTGGTTGAAGCCTAGAGTTCCTAGAATGCATATCCCAAGCAGGCTGGCAAAAAGAAGTGATGGCTGAAGGACAGGAGGCACTAGGTAGGGCTAGTTAAAACAAGCACAGTCATGTATGAAAAAATTGAGAACCAACATTTTAGGTACTGTCCCGGAAAGTTTAGAACCCAGCTTCTCAATTGACATGGCAGTCATTAAGCATATTTACTAGGAAATGAGTCCTATTAAATTCACTGGCTCTTTCTTCCAAGTACAGATGCTTAGAATCATATGAACATTTGCCCAGAGCATCTCTTTAAAGCTTTTATCCTAAAGTAATGGAGTCTCCATAGCTTGTGGAAAAAATAGGAACGTGTCTCCTAAACTGCTTCCATAGATTAACATGGAATAGAGAAGAAGGAAAAAGGAACCCATTCAAAACAAGAACTATGGTATGAATTGCCCAGAAAACAATGAATTAGCCAGACAAATTTATTAAAGAAAAACGGCTTCAAAATGACAAAGTGTAAAAAATGACCTCAACTGCAGGTTGGGGTAGCTTTTCCCCTAGTTCATTATTTGTTGACCCTTTTCATTCAATTTCGGATCTGGCTATACTGTGCCCCCCCCCCT